AACTGAGCTAACCAGCAAGCCCCATTGTAAGACTGTTTTCATTCAACGTAATTTTTTTTTGTGATTTAACTATGTTACATATATAATCATTTTTTTCTTTTTTATTGCTGAGCAGTATCCAATCTGTAAATATACCACAATTTGTGTACCTGTTGTTTTTAGACATGTAATTCAAGTTTTTGTTATTATAAATCGTTATTAACATTCTTGTGGGGGGGAACTACCCGCTCAGGCCCCCTTCCTGTCCCTCTCTCAGACAGGAGCTTTCTTTCTCTCAAATATATTCTGCTCATAAAAAAAAAAAAAAAAATTATTGTGTAGGTCTTTTATGTACACACACCTACCAAACACATACAAATTTTTCGCTGTTCTTGTTTGAGACAGTCTATCTAGTTTAGGTTAGCCTTGAACTTACTATGCGGGCCAAGTTGACCTGGAACTCTTGGTGATCCTCCTGCCTCATTTTCCCAAGTGCTGGGATTACAGGCACATGTCACTTTACCAGACTCCTAGAATGAGTATTGTTTTGTGTTCACTGCATACTGAGTGGAAGGTGGCAGCTGAAATCTCACTGAGGTCTTATCAGGATTGCCTGGAATTTGCCCTATGCAGATTTGAGCAGAATTTAGACAACTCCTCCACCTGAATTGTTCTTCCTCATGAGAGTTCCCACTGTACTTTTCTGTTACAGTGCTTGCCCCAAGCTCTGTCTGTGGATGTGTGTGTGTGTGTGTGCACGCGCGTGTGCGCCTACGCTGGGTATAGATCCCATTTTTACCCAGCAAACTGATACTGAGACCCACCTGTGCTGTGTGTTATCTGTGGAGTCCTCCTTTCTCTGCCAAGTAGTTTTCTGCATGAAGTGTGTTTATTAATTTATCTACTGGTGGACTTTGAAATGTTTTCAGGTTTTTTGAGTGTTACAAATAAATTGCTCTGTACATTTTGGTTTTTGAGGAACATATTTTCATTTCTTAGGTAACTTAAGAGTGAAATGGTTGAAATAAATTGCTAAGTCTATATGTTTGACTCTAAAATAATTGTAGCTGGAGGTATCGGTTAGTGGAACAATGCCCTAGGTTCCTCCCTGGCATCTCAGAAACCACCAAGAAATGGTTGTACATTTTCCATATCCCTGCTTGTAGACCACATTGTGAAGCCTCAGGTTGCTCAGTCCTCTGACCAACACTTAGTGTACTTAGTTCTTTAATTTTAGCCATTCTAACAGGTCTCAGTGTGGTTTTAATGTGCATTTTCCTAATGACTAATCACATTGAATCACTTTCCTTATGCTTGTTGGCCACTCCTGTGAAGTAAGTGAATCTTTGCCTGTGGGGGCTAGTGGAATTCTAAATAGAATAGTTTTGTTGGCTATGTTTTCCAAATACCAATACATTGGGGCTGGCGAGATAGCTCAGTGGTCTAAAGCGCCTGCTTAGGCAAGCTTAGGCAAGCATGCAGGGACTTCGGTTCGATCCTCAGCACCACATGCCATGCCAGCCCCGCCCATAGGGTGGGCTGAGCTGACCATAAAAAAGAAAAAAAAAAAAAAAAGGAAACATTAAAAAAATAAATAAATCCATTTTTAAAAACCCAAATACCAATACATTGTGACATACAGTAAGGTTGGGTCCTGATAGATCCATTATAAACTGAAAGTAATCTTACACCTCCCCTACCAAGCATCCTAGTGTAACCTTACCTTGTTAAGTGTGCTCAAACACTTGCCTTAGCCTACCGTTGGACAGACAAACCTATTTTTATTTTATATGGTTGACGATCTCATGTAATATTGAATATGTACTAAAATGAAAAACACAATGATTGTATGGATACAAATTCAAAATGTGGTTTCTGCCAGGTATGGTGGTGCATGTTTGTAATCTCAGCAATTGGGAAGCTGAAGCAGGAGGATCACAGCAAGTTTGGGGCCCACATGGGCTGCATAGTGAGTTCAAGTTCAGTCTGAATTGCATAGCAACATATTGTCTCAAAAGAAAATAAACTATGATTTCTGCTGAATGTCAAAAAATTGTTAAGTGAAATTATTGTAAGTTAGGGACCATTTGTTTCCTCCTAGTATATGATCTGCCTTTTAATTTTCATAATGCTTATCTTTTCAAAACATACTTTTAAAAAATGTATTTAGTACAGGGCCTATAGGGCATACAGGGTCTCACTACACAGCTTGGACTTGTAGTGATTCTCCAGTTTTCAGCCTCCCAAGCACTGGGATTACAGGCATATGACACCATGCCCAGTCTTAGTCCCTGTCTCAGCACGCCCCAGGGTATAACAGGATATCCAATTGATGACAGCTGAAAAGACAATGTATTCATTCTGAACAGAGGATTTCATATTGTAAATCTTCAGTCATTAGCTGTCTATATGACTGTTAAAATGCAATTTGTGAACATCTGGGGCTGAGAGTACAACTTAGAGGTAGAGTACATGTCTAGCATGTGCCAAGCCTTGGCCTGGCAAGCGTGAACTGTGGGTATCGGTACCACTGCCACCACCACACACACACAAATTATGTAGGGTTGGATAAATAGAGGCATTCTTTAGCAGAATTCTACCAAATATTTATAGGTGAATATGAGAATAATAGTACAGAAGGAGTAGAAAAAACTATTGGTGCCCATAAATCAAGATGATTGGGAATGGGACACAGTCTTGAGTACACAATAGAGATGCTTGTGGGATTCATCAGTGTAGACTCAGGTTAGTTAGATGGTAACTAGAGAATAGTTCAAATGGGAATGGGGTGAGACAGGAGAGAGGGATATAAATATATTCGTTGTTTATTGTAAGCATACATAAATAAAAGAATGATGATGTGTGGGCATTACCTGCCATGCTTAGATGATGGAGGTGTTTCTCCAGGACCTATCAGTGTTCTCCCGTGTTAATCAGTAAATAGGAAATTTTCCATGATTAAAAAAATGGGAGTTTTGGGGCTGGTGAGATGGCTCAGTGGTCTAAAGCACCTACTTAGAACAAGCTTAGCAAAGCACTGGGACCGTGGTTCAATCCCCCAGCACCACATGCCAGCCAGCCCCGCCCCCTGGTGGGCTGAGCTGGCCACAGACACACACACACAAATAAATAAATAAAATTTTTTTTAAAAAATGGGAGTTTTGGTTGGTTGGTTTTTTTTTTTTTTTTTTTAAAGCAGTTCAGGCTGGCCTCAGACTTGCAGGAATCCTTCTTCCTCAGCCTCCCTGGGATTACAGATGTGCAGGCATGTGCCCACCATGCCCAGCAGTTTTGTTTTTTAAATAGCAGTGCTAAGGGTGAAACTCAGGGCCTTGTGCATACTGGGCAAGTGCCCTACCACTGAGCTTCATCATGAGCTACAGTTTTGCTTTTTTTGAGACAAGGGCTCACTATGCAGTTCAGGCTGACCTTGAACGCATCATGTAGGTGAGGCTGGCCTCCAATTATGGCAGTCTTCCTCCTACCTTAGCCTCCCAAGCTGGGATTTTAGACAGTTGTGGGTTGCCATGCATGGAACATACACATTTTTTAAGACTTACTAATAAAGAGATTATTTCTGTTCTGTGTTAATAACCAGTTAGGCATTGCTATTCAATAACTTAAAATTTTTGAAATGCAAGAAAGAGGAAGGGCCAGCAAGATAGCTCAGCGGTTAAAGTGCCTGCTTAGGCAAGTGTGCAGGGACTGTGGTTCAATCCCCAGCACCACATGCTGTGCCAGCCCTGTCTCCAGGGTGGTCTGAGCAGGACACCAAAAAGAAAACGAAAAAAAGAACAGAAAGAGCAATTTTAGTTAAGATTGAATGTTAAATAAACTATCTTTATTTCTGCCAAGTTATGAATTTAGCATTCATGGGTATGCATGCCTTTTCATACATACAATTATGTAGCATCTATTTTTTCTGGAGTCTGATCAAAATGTGTTGATTACACTTGCTACACTAGATTCCCTGTCCAGCTTGCCCAGATTTGCTGGGGGGAGCTCAGTGATGCTGCATCCGACAGTGAGGACACACTGGTCTCTTCCCTATTAGAGGCTCTGCAAGAAATGTTTAGAGCTTTAGGTTATGTGTCACAGCTTAGCATCATTGCGGTCTCTCTCAGTTGCCAAAGACATCACAGTCTTGGTTTAAGCCACTGTTTGAAAATACTAGTCTGTGACCTTTTCAGACCCAAAAGCTACAACTCTTGTTGCATAGGTCTTGCTTTATCTTGGTCTTAACCATCCAGCAATAAAGTATAAAAACGAAGTGTAAGAAGTAAAGCCATGGGGACTGGTGAGATGGCTCAGTGGTCTAAAGCACCTACTTAGAACAAGCTAAGCTAAGCAAAGCACAGGGACCACGGTTCAATCCCCCAGCACCACATGCCAGCCAGCCTCCGCCCCCTGGTGGCTGAGCTGGCCACACACACACACAAAATAAATAATAAATAAAAAAAAAAAAAAAAGAATTATGTTATGTTGAGCTGTAGGGGACTCAGGTCAACAATTTCTGACACTGCCAGTCAAGTGGAAGACCCAATACTATTATGGATTACTGGACTCTTTTAGAATATTTTTGCTGAGTTAACACACCTATAATATTCAAATGACGGAACTAAACAAAAAAGGGTTATATAAATGAATGTCCATTTTGTATCTGTGTATTCAAAATGGTTAGGATAGATATATAGTTACATCCTGTTAATGAATAGAGGGATTTGTTATAAAAGTGTTTGTAAATAGGATATCATGTCTGCATCTTGTACAGCAAATAACCACTAGGAAGAGAGTATGCAATGTGTTAATTATTGAAACTATCCTACCAATTTGATTTGAAACTGTCTCATTGCTATTTGTCTCTCAATAAAATTATGGGGGGAAAAAAAGGAAGAAAGAAAATACTAGTCTAGGGCTGGGTAGATAGCTTGGTAGTCTAACCACCTGCCTGGCAGGTGCAAGGACCTGACTTCAATCCCCAGCACCACATGCCATGCCAGCCCCAGAACCACAGGTACGCCATGCCAGCCAATGAAACCAGGTGTGGTGATTGTTATGGTTTGTGTCTAGGTGTCCCCCCAAAGCCTCATACAGTCTTGGGGTGGCTTCTGGAGTTTGTGATTGATTACTGTGGGTGTGCTTGCTGCACCTGCCCTGGGGCAGGTAATCTGCATTACACTGTAAGGTGTGAAGAGAAGCCAGCTGCTTGAGTTGCTTCTTCCCCTCCCTTGTGCTCTTGCTCTTTGCTGCCACCATGAAAGGTTGCCCTCTGCTATGTGCTGCTCTGCCTTGGAGCCAGCTGAGTGTGGACTGAAACCTCCAGTGACTGTGAGCTAAATAAACCTGTCCTTTCTTCATTTTGAGTGTCAGGTATTTGTTCCAGCAATGAAAGAAGAGTAAGACAGTGATGCACACCTGTAATCCTAGTGCTAGGGAGGCTGAAACAGGATCACTACAAGTCTGAGCTGCATAGCAAGACTCTGTACCAAATAAATAAATAAAGATTTTTTTTTTAAATTGTAAAGAAAATACTAGTCCATCACTGGAGTGTTTTTTCCAGGTTACCCTTGTCTATATAATACTAGTATTTTTGTCATGCTTATTTCATATAGAACCTTTGCAAATTTGTAGTAATATCTACTGGATACTAATAATATTCTAGTGTAGTATTAATGAGGCTGGGATTTTACGACATGTGAGTAAGGATAAAAGCATTCAGAAAAGCATAAGTTAATTGTGCTGGTGCTTGTCTATAGTTCCTGCATTCTGGGAGGCTGAGGCAGAAAGATTGCAAGTTCATGCCCAGTTTGGGCAATTTAATGAGACTTTATCTCAAAATAGAAAAGGGTATACCTCAAAAAAAAAAAAAAAAAAAGGGTATACCTCAATGTAAAGGCCCTGAATTCAATCCCAACACATTGTGGAAGCTGAAGCAGGAGATTGCCGCATATTCAAGGCCAGCCTAGGCTACATAGTGAGTTCGAGGCCAGCCTAAACTGCATAGGGAGAGCTTGTCTCAAAAACAAAAACAAAAACAAAAAGGATAGAGGGAAGGGAAGGAAAAAGATAAACATTCCATAACTACAAAAGAAAGCATGCTGGGGTGGGAGGGCCTTAGATATCTATCCAGAGCTTTCACACTGAGCTACATGCCCAGCCATTTCTTTTTTTTATTTTGAAACAGAGTCTTGCTAACTTCCCAGCTGGCCTCACACTTCAAGTTTGAGGCCAGCCTGGGCTCCATAGTGGGTTCTAGGCCAGTCAGAACTGCATAGTAAGACTCTGTCTCAACCACAAAAAGAAAAAAGAAAAACATTGTTAAAGTTATAGATATCTTTAAAAAAGAAAATGTTCAATATGAGTTGGTTTATCAACTGAAAAGAATAGTTTCAGTTTTTGTTACGTTTTCTTCTGTCCAGCAAATCTCTTTCCCAGTGATATATTAAATCTTGTCTGTTTATACGTACTTAGAAACTGCTGATCACTGGTGTAGTATTACTAATGGTAAAGATGAAGAGTTAGTTAAGTGCTGTACCCAGATCTTACAAAATCGAAGAACTCTAATAAGACCTCATACTGTTTCATTTTCCTTCTCTTAGAACTAGTTCCAAAAAGGAGATGCAAAATATATTTCATGTTTAGGTACAATTTACATTTTAGAAACAAGGATTAGAATCTGTTTCTGCTGTTTAAACTGAGACACAATTCTCCAAGTCTGTTTCTTCATCTTAAATGTGTGAAAAATAGTAGAGCCTAATGCATAGGATTGTTTTAAGGGATAGATAAAATAATGCATATAAAATACTTAGTGCTGAGCTGGGGCATAATGAATCCTCATTACATGGTTTCAAACAAGAAAGAGCTGAGGACACAGCTCAGTGGGAAAGCCCTTGCCCAATCACATGAAGCCCTGGATTCCATCCTCGAAACAAAAAGAACAGAAGAGAAAAGAAATCTCTCCATGTACATGGTTTGTCCTGACATCTGTTTCTTACTCTTTATGTATTTTGATCTCTTCAGTCCATATGGTATAAATGCAGCAGTAAGGATGACAAGTCCTCTCACACTGCAGGCAGCAGCTAGTAACTAATGCTTTCTCTATGCCAGAACTAATTGGTTCCAAGTACCCCAGAGAAGTGCATGCAGGAACACATGGAATTGGCAAGGTTTTAAAGGATTTTCTCTTTACATACTTTCTTTTATTTTTTAAAACAGTGCCTTTGAAGATGAGACTCTGAAGCTTCGACAGCTGAAACTGGAAAATCAGGTGAGCAGAGTCTCCTCTTTTGAAATAAGTGGACTCTGTACTGAGGTAATGGTGATCTTGGCTTTGAGGTCTTTGTAGAAAAAAGCTGGAAAAGCAAAGAGTTCTGATGGGGTTTTGGTTAACATTCTATAGAGGAACAGTCAATACGAAGAAATTTTATGTGTATATATAACTATATATAAATTTATCCTCTATAAATTTGCAAGAGGATTTGTTAGATGGGCTAACAGGATCAGAGGTGGGATACCGCTTAGTGACTATCAGTCACTAAGAAAATGGAACAAGAGGCATCCAGGAGCAGCTGTAGTTCATGCTGAAAGACTGGAAAGGTACCTGGAGAGTTGCTGGTATGGTTTTCATTGAAAGGCTAAAGAAGCTGGAGCCTGATGTCCACAGGATATACCTGCTAAGCCAGGCATGGTGGCACATGCCTGTATTCCCAGCACCAGTAAGGCTAGGGTGGAAGGATCACCAGGAGTTCTAGGCCAACCTGAGTTACCTGGCGAGACCCTGTCTCAAACCACCACCTCCCCTCCATGCTAGCAGAATGGAGCTTTTCTGATGCAGGCTTCCTTCTTTCTTATTTCCCTCTTATTCCATGCAGGCTGTGAGCCTGTTAGACACCCACCGTCGGGGTAGCTCTTTCCCATGCTTTTGCAGGCCTACATGCAATCATCTCTGGAAAATCTAAAGACACACCTGCTGTTCTGCTAGGTATCTCTCAGTTCAGTCAAGTGGATGGTCACAACAGTTTCAGATGTTTATACTTAGCGGTCTCTAGGGTTGATATTTGCTGCAGCAAAGCTGTGGACTGTGCTTTGAAGATGTCATCAATAAAACTGGCCTCAGATTTATAAGCAATGGAAATTTCTTGGTACCTCCCAAGAATTGAAAGGACCCATTGGCCACACCACTGCAGCAAGGAAATCAAGAAGGGAAATGATGGTACAGAAGAGACATCACATGGCAAGACAAGCAGCCAGATAGGCTCAGGGGCCAGGCTGGCTGTTGTAATAACTTGCTCTTGGAGCCACCTGGAATTCTCGGATGAGAAGTATGTTCATCTCCTCTCGGGATCAGACCTCGAATGACCTAACCACTTCTACAAGGCACAGGCTCTGCAGGTTCCACCACTTCTCAGCATCGTTGCGCTGGAACCAGATCACCACCACACACAAGCCTCGGTGATGTGCTCAGACCACAGCACCTGTCAACATTGCATTTCTGTTTACTCACTGGGTTCTGCCATCTTAAAAGACTGAATTCCATTTGCTACAGGTTTCTTTCTTTTTTTTTCCATTTATGTACTTGGTATGGGGTCTCACTATGCAGCTTGGACTCCTGGTGATCCTTCTATTTTCAGCCTCCCCAGTGCTGGGATTACAGACATACGCCACCACGCCTGGACTCGGTGGCTGGCTCAGCACACATGGGGGCAGTGCCTGCTCGGCATGCAGGACCGGGGATCGATTCCTGGTCCCTGCACTTGCCAAAGCAGGTGCTTAGTCCACTGAACTATCTTGCCAGCTCCCAAGAGTTTTTCGTTATCCTAAAATGTGTTCATAACTTGCTGCTGTGCTGCTTCATTTTCTTCCCAGCACTGGTTTCAGTTTTTTATTACAGTTTTGTTGGAGTCATTTTACTTGTTTGTTTCCTTTACTAATCTCTATGAGAACAAGAACATAGCATGGTTTTCTAGAATATATTTTTAATTGGCACATAAGAGTTCTACATGTTTAGGAAGTACAGTGTAAAATTTCAATACTGAATTTTTAAGGAGGTTTGTTTTGACTGCAATACCGCACATTTTTTATGACTATTATCTTGGACATTCCTAGTACAGTGGTACTTAGGTATATAAACTTAATTCTTCCCAAGATTCTGGTAATAAACCAAATTGGGAGAAGCAAATCATATGTCCTTATAAGGTCAACGTTGAACCAAGCTATTGAATTTGATTCAGTTCTTTCAAGTTTGCTTTGCAACCAGAATCAAGGAAAGAATTAAGTTTGTGAGCAGGCCTGGTAGGGGAAGGCCTTAGGACTCGGCTGCAGGGCCCTGCCTGCATGTTGGCATGATCCAAGGGCAGCAGCCAGGGCTGCAATGACAGAGTACAACAAGGAGCAGTGAAATGAGCTGAAGGCCGGGAGTCCAACTCCTTCACAGTGTTTTCTACCCAGCCTCATCATTACTTTTACATCAGAGTATGGAGAAAAATGAGGAAATAGTCCAGACTACCCTCAAGTCTACATACAGTAAACAACATCCAGATGAAGTTCTTCTTTATGAAATATTCTCCCAAGAAAATCTAAAAGATAATGATCTCATAGGCATTTAAAAATTACTCACATTAGGCCAGGGAGATAGCTCAGAGACAAGCACCTTCATGGCAAGTTTAGTCCCTGGAACCAGAAAAAAAATAAAATTATTAGCATTGCATGCCAAGAAAGTCTTAGTGGGGGAAGGGCGGGACGTGGCGTCTGGAAGCCACGCTTTTGCTGCGCGTGCCCAGGAGTGCGCACTGCACGGGGTGCGTGTGCCCGGGCCTTGCGGCGACTCCTGCTCCTCCGCCGCCACCGCCCTCCTCGTCCCACCCGAGTTTCAGGTGAATGGGTCACCGAGGAAGGTGACCACACCGCATGTGCAGGCGAGCGTCCGCCTCCCGCTCGGTTCCCAGCGCGAGTCCAGGAGGACAGCAAACAGCTTCAGTTCTTGGCCTTAGCTGTGGTATACTTTATCTCTGTTCTGTTGGTCTCCAAGGATAGAGGCGTAGCCATTCATTGAGAGAAACTGGTAGTGAAAATGGGAATGCTTGGGGCTGGTGAGATGGCTCAGTGGTCTAAAGCACCTATTTGGAACAAGCTTGGCAAAGCACAGGGACCGCGGTTCAATCCCACAGCACCACATGCCAGCCAGCCCTGCCCCCTGGTGGGCTGAGCTGGCCACACACACACACACACACACACACACACACACGCACACACACACACACACACACACACACACACAAATAAATAATAAAAATTAAAAAAAAAATAAAAAAGATAAAAAAGAAAATGGGAATGCCTTACTCTGAGGTAGAGAACACCCCAGTGGTGTTCAGCCCTTTGCCTAGGCCATCCGAGGAGAAAGCGGTGGAAAGTGCTTCTTGTCCTCTTGCTGGAGGGACTCGGGGCGTCAGGGAGGAAACAGCTCCTGCTCTCGGGAGCCACACGTGTTGCTCCTCCAGCAGCGCCTTCCAGTGTTGGTGCAGGGCCGATGCAATCAGCGTGGTGCTGTGCATTTCTTTAGAAGTCAACAAATCTCAGGAAACCATAGATGATGGAAGCGATGAGTCAGATAACAAGGCGACACCAGCAGTTCCAGTTTCTTTTTTTTTTTTTTTTTTTTTTTGGTGGAACCGGGGATTGAACTCAGGTCCTTGTGCTTGCCAGGGAAGTGCTTATTCCACTGAGCCATCTCCCCGGCCCCCAGCAGTTCCAGTTTCGAAAACAGTTGGCGTGGAGGACACTTTCCGGAGCCTGTTACCATCCTTGCAGATGACGTCTCCGTGGATCCCACCCTCCTGCCACCACTCTGCCTTTGTTCTTGGTGATTTGTCTGTGGAGCAGCCTGTGTAGTTCAGATCTTTCGACAGCACTGCAGTCTGAAAGAATGATTCCTGTTTTTCATTGAACTTAGTGATCCTGACACATTGTGGGATTGTAGCTCAAGCGTTCTTAGGATGTCCTCAGCTGAGATTTGCGCAGTGTTTTCTCAGCACCAGGCGCATGTTAGGTGCTTTGGCAGGAACGTGGTGCAGCGACAGTGCCTCTCCTTAAAGGCATTCATGCTTACCTGACCACTGATGCTGCTCACTCTGACTGCTCTTGACAAGGGCTCTGGATTCTCTGCTGTCAGGTAGTCCTCTGAGTGTAGAACTGCCTTAACCTCAGCAAATTTTCATTTGCTTCGTTTTATGGTCTTATACTTTCTATTCTTTTGCTTTTCAAAGAGAATAAAAAATAGTAAAAAAAAAAAAAAAAGCATTGGAAACATTAGAGAATTTCACTAAACAGAATTGCAGGAATTCAGCAATGGTTGTTATATTGTATATTGTTGTCTTCAGATTCATTGCTCAGATTATCATATATAAGCATGCAAAACTTTAAAATTTTTTGAATTAAAAAGAGGAAAGAAAAAAAAGAAAGTCTTAGTGTGGTCATAAACTTTAATGACAGCTGTGCATGAAAAATTAAGTGAAATAGTAGATTCAGATAAAAACAAGAAGAGGTCAGTGAGATAGCTCAGCAGACTAACACACCCGCTTAGGCTTTCAATCCTTCACCTCACTATTCAGGTCTTAATTTTAAAAGTGAAATCTGAGGGCCAGCCACATAGCTCAGCAGATTAAAGTGCCTGCAGTAGGCGCTGGGGCCAGGGATTCGATCCCGAGGCCTGCCATGCCGGCCCCACCCCTGGGTTGTGCTGAGACAGTGGTGATTGAGACTGGGCAAGGTGGCATGCACTTGTAATCCCAGCTCTTGGGAGGCTATAAGCAGACGAATCACTGTGAGTCAGATCTAGTAGTGAGACTCTGAACACCCTGTAGACCCTTCCCTAAAAATACAAAAAAAAACAAAACAAAACAAAAAACCCAGTGAAATCTGATCCAAAAAATAAGCCAGGTGTGGTGGCACATACCTGTAATCCCAGCATTCAGGAGGCTGAGACAGAAGGATCATTACAAATTCGAGTCCAGCCTAGGATACAAAGTGAGCTCAAGGCCAGCCTGAGCTGCATAGTGAGACCCTATCTCAAAAAGACAACAACAACCAAAAAGTTCATGAACCAAAGTATCACTATTACTATACATCCTTTCATTAAATGTTGGCAGGAAGGAATGGAAGCTTCATATTATCACATACTGTGACTGCTGTGCTTAGGCAGCTCTGAGCATGTAAGTGACAAGCATTTCTTTCCAGTTTGCTTTTTCATATGAATTTTGATTTTTTTTTTTT